TGGTCCCAGTTACTTGGGAAGCGGAGGCAGGAGACTCGCTTGAGCCTAGTAGTTGGAGGTTGCTATTAGCTGTGATGCCATGGCACTCACCCAGGGCGACAGCTTAAGGCTCTGTCTCAAAAAAACAAAACAAAACAGATTTATATTTATTCTGATTCATTTCGGTTTATTATAATCATTTATTCAACAAATATTGAATAAATATTTGCTTTCTATGCTCCAGGTCTTCTAGGTGAAGATCCCTATTTCTCTGGTGCTGATAGTCTCCTAAGAGGATGTAGGCAATAATCAATAAACATGATAAGTGATATAGTATATCAGAAAGTGATAAATGCAATAGAAAACAGAAAAAGCAGGCCGGGCATGGTGGCTCATGCCTGTAGTTCTAGCACTCTGGGAGACCAAGGCAGGTAAATCACCTGAGCTTACAAGTTCAAGACCAGTTTCAGCCAGAGCAAGACCTAGCTTTAAAAATAGCCAGGCATTGTGGGTGGCGCAAGAAGATTGCTGGAGCCAAGAGTTTGAGGTTGCTGGAACGGCATTCTACCAAGGGTGACAAAGTGAAACTGTCTCCAAAAAAAAAAAAAGTAGAACAGGGTAAGGCAGATAGAGCTGGGGTTGGGGTAGGGTAGAGAGAAGGAAGGTTGCAATTTGAAATAGGCTGGTCATAGTAAATCCCATGGAGAGGGTAACAGTTGAGTCATAGATTTACACAGTTGGTTAGAGAATTAGCCATATGGCATCCAGGGAAGAAGTGTTCAGGAAAAAGAAAGCTAGAGCCAATACCCTAAGCTAGCAGCAACCCTGGCATGCTTGAGGAATTCAAGGAAGCTAGAGTAGCTAGAGGAGAGTAATTCTAAGGGGAATGTGGTAAGAAATGACCAGATCCTGTTGGACCATGTAAACCACTGGTAAGATGTGGAGCCAGGGAAGGGATCTGAACAGAACGGTGACATGGTCTGATTTTATTTTAAACCATCACTCTGGTTGAGAATAGACTACCCAGGGCAGCCAGTGTTGATAATAGACTTGTGGGGGGAGGGAAACAATTATTCCAGTAATCCTAGCAAGAGAGATTGATCAAAGTGGTCAGAGAAGCAGTGGAGGTTCTGAGAAGTCAGACGCTGGATGTGTTTTGAATATAGAGAAAATAATATTTCTTTAAGTATTTGATATGACTTGGGAAGGAAAGAGAGGTTTTTGGTCTGAGCAAAGGCAAGTGTGAAATTGCCTTCAAATGAGGTCAAGAACTATGTGAATGAAACAGATTGGATGGGAAGAGAGATTGAGAGTTTGGTTTAGTTTGAGATATCCATTAGACTTCCTAATGAAAAAGTAGAGTGAGCAAATTTGGATATAAGTGTCTTGGGTTCAAGCTAGAGCTCTGAGTTAAACATTTATATAGAGTTATATAACATAAATTATCTTATAATATCAATTATATAGCTTATATTTACTCTTTAAATTTTTTCTCTTGATATAGTGACAATTGATTATTGAATTTCTTTTCTACTATAAACTTAGTTTCCTGTTTTAAGGATTTATAAATTAACACATCTTTTAAAATTGTTTGAAATTGGCTTGGCACCTGT